TAGCAATTTAGAGTGGGCATTTCAGCTGTTGGCATCTCCTGCAACTGACCAGACAGCATTTACTCAAAATAACCAACCTTTTGGAATCTTTAAAAGTAAGAAAGAGTTTTGTTCGAGTCTGTTAGGACACCTTCCCCGGGAAACAGGTCTTCACAGGGAAAAAAGTGTTCTGGAGAATGAACAGTTTCCATGGGGTTATATATGTTTTACATCTTATACGAGCTCAAAAGATTATACATTAGTATGTAGGCAGGAATCCCACGTTTTAACACAAGGAATGCAGGGAGTAGGAGCACTGATTGATATCTTGAGGACAAGATGGTTTTCCTTAAGGCTGCTCATTCACAAAGCAGGTACACAATGGACCATACAACAGGTTTTTTTTTTTTTTTTTTTTAAAGATTTTATTTATTTACTTGACAGAGAGAGACCACAAGTAGGCGGAGAGGCAGGCAGAGAGAGAGAGAGAGAGGGAAGCAGGCTCCCTGCTGAGCAGAGAGCCCGATGCAGGGATCGATCCTAGGACCCTGAGATCATAACCTGAGCCGAAGGCAGAGGCTTAACCCACTGAGCCACCCAGGCGCCCCAGGGTTTTTGTTTTAAGCAAAGTTTATGTACAGTCATGTTGACTTAGAAACATAAAATGGCTTCCCTTATATCTCAGGCTGTTAGAGAGTTCTCTCCTCTCGTAAGTAGTCATCCTGGACCCTACCTGTTCTGAGTACCCCTTTCCTGCTCTCCTCCCCCACCTTTTTTTTTTTTTCCCCCAGAGGAGAATGGTTAGATTTAGGGTTGAGATTACTTTTTTGGCTTACTTCATTTTGTATATCCTCTTTTCTTTCATTTAGGTATTCTTGCTTCCTCCAAACAAAATCTAGGTGCTAGATACTGGGGAAGGAAAGCACAGTTCCTAATGGCATGGGATGCCCAGTGGCGAGACTGTGATTTATAGTAAATAGGCATTTGATCTTTGTTCCCATTTCTGGCGTGGTGGTCTTAAAAGCCTTGGAGTTTCTTGTGATAAGAGTGACAAAAGTGTCTTTTGTTTTATTAATGAAATGACACTGGATGGCACTTAAGGATGGGGGCTGGTTGCCAGAAGAACTAACCTTCTGATTAGAGGCTCAAACTTTCAGTTTCAGACCTCTGACCTCCAGGGAGGAGAAAGGGCCTGGAGATTGAGTTCAATCACTAATGGCCAATGAATTAATCATTTGTGCGTGTAATGAAGCCTCCATAAAAACCCCAAAGCTCTGGGTTCAGAGAGCTTCTGAGCTGCTAAACACAGTGGAGATGTAAGGAGAGCTGGCTTGCTGAGAAAGCATGGTGGATCTTCACCCTTTCTCTATACCTTGTCCCATGCATCTCTTCAAGCAGGCTGTTCCTGAGTTACCATCATTTGTAATAAACTGGCAATCTAGTAAGCAAAATGTTTCTTCAGGTTCCATGAGCTGCTCTAGCAAGTTATTTGAAAATAAGGCGAGGGTCATTGGAATTTCCAACCTATATCTGGTAGGTCAGAAAATCTGTGCTTGTTTCTGAAGTGAATGTGGGGGCACCCTCTTGTGGAACTGAGCCCTTAACCTGTGAAATACAATGTTGTAGCTGGATAAGTAGTGTCAGAATGGAGTAAAGTTACAGGACACCCAGCTGACCTTGGAGAGTTGTTTGGTGGGGGAAAAAAACCCCTACACATTGGGATTGGAGTCAGAATTTTAGTAGTGAGTTAAAAAAAAAAAGTGGCTAACTGAGCCAGTCTTGGGCAGATCCAAGACTGTGAATGTCCGCACTATGCCTCCTTCCTATCGTCCTCTTCCTGTAATGTTGTTCTCTCCCCCTGTTCTCAAGTTTGGATCTGACCTCAAGTGACGTTTGCTGACCAGGTTGTGTGCACCTGAGGAAAGAGACTGTCTCTATTTTTTGTAAACCTGTGTTTCTCCCAGTCCAGTTTCCTGCTACTTGCACTTTAAGTGGCATAGTGCAGGAGAGCACTGGTTTTGGCCCCACAGACCAGGGTTTTAGTGTGTGACTTGTTAACTGTGGAAACTTGGGCAAGTCCTGGCATTACTTGGCATCTCAGTTTTCTCATCTATAAAATGAGCTTGATGATTTTTTTTCCAGTTTTTATTTAAATTCCAGTTAACATACAGTGTAATATTAGTTTTAGGCGTAGAATGTAGTGATTCAGCAATTGCATACAACACCCAGTGCTCATCATGGCAAGTGTACTCCTTCCTCCCCATCCCCCACTTGAGCCATCCCCCTGCCCACCTCCTCTCTAGCAACCCTCAGTTTGTTCTCTATAGCTAAGAGTCTGTTTTATGGTCTGCCTCTTTTTTTCCCTCACGTCATCTGTCTTGTTTCTTAAATTGCACAGATGAGTGAAATCATGTGGTATTTTGTCTTTCTCTGACTGCTTTCACTTAGCAAAATACTCTCCAGCTCCATCTACCTCATTGCAAATGGCAAGATTCCATTCTCTGTGATGGCTGACGAATGTTCCATTGTATATATACCTCTCATCTTTATCCATTTGGGCTTGATGATTTTTTAACCTCCTACAGTTATGAAGATTGTATAAACAAATGTGTGAAAAGTACTTAGGTCAGTATCCTGCCTAGGCTATAGAGAGTGCTTGATGAATGGTATTTGTGAATGACGGTTACTAGATTTCATTTTCTGCTATGTAAGGATAGGTTTTATCCAAGGTAATGTGACAAAGTGAATGTTAGACTCCAGTGAACTATTGGGAATCTTTTAGGCAGAGTTTATTTTCCCTGAGCTACCGCTTCTGCTCTGACAACCCCCTTTCCAAGCAGCTTGGGATGATCCCTTCAATGTTCCCAGAAACCCCTGTGACCAAGTCCCACTTATATTTTCCTGTGGTGTCCCTGGTGCTGAAGCGGCCCTGATCAAGTCCTAAATCTCTTCAGGGAGTTTAATACCTTGCAAAAGCCTCAAGCCTATTTTAATTGAATTATTTCATTCAGTGCCAGACTTAAAGAGCCCCCTACAGGTCTCAGCTCTGAATAAATGCATTAAAAAAAATCAAATAGTAGAGATTGAGGCATAAAATGCATTAAAAAAATCAAATAGTAGAGATTAAGGCATAATCCTTGAGGGAGATATAAATAGAATCCCCTGGGCTGCCTTTTCATTTCCCTATGTTAGTTAATAAACATACTTTTATAGCCTCTGCTTTTCTTTTTTCTTCCCTTAATGCTCTTTAGTTGGCAAAAAAGAGTAAAACTTGGAACATAACATGATGTTGGGAAGGCATTTACCATCTTAATTTTCAGGGCGGGAAGGGATTTTCAGCATTTCCTGGTCTAACCCTCTGCTTAATTTACCTGATGTGAGGCAGAGGTGTAGAGAAAGAGATGGCGTGGCCAAGGTCCTACAGCTTGACCTCCAATGAGCTTAGCTTGAAAAAAACATATTCTTAGTCCTGGACCAGTATTGGGAGCCATGGCGAAACATGGCCTCAAAACGGTAAAGTGAGTAAGAGCAGGGCACTGGTTAAGGGTGGTGCTCTGGGCTCAGACTACCAGCAATTAAATCTTTGTCTATTTCATGCCCCTCTGCCTTTGGGCAAGTTATTTAGCATTACTAGGTCTTTAGTTTCCTTACCCCCAAATAGGGATAATAATAGTACCCACTTCAGTGTGCTATTCAGTCCAATGACCGTTCACTAAAAAGCTTTGTACTGTACCTGACACGTAGTTAAGTGCTCAATAAATGTTAGCTATAATAGTTATTAAATATGTTTTTTTAAAAGGTTCTTATTGGGATGGTAATGGAAAGTCCTCCATCTTAGTGCTTTATAGTTTTGTGTTCTCTATCATGAATGAATTTCTGACACTGTAAGGAGGAAGTCCCAGAGGTCCTTTACCCAATGGCAGGCCTATCTGCTAATGAGAGTGGAAGGGCAGTTGTCAAAGGATTGGCTCCATCAGTGGTGACTGGAAATGATGCTATCTGATCCCTTGAGAGGATCAGATTTTAATTTTTTTTTATATTTTAGTTTTATTTTTTATTTTAATTCAAAGTGAACTTTATAAATTCTGTAATTTTTTTCTTTATTTAGTTTTATTGATGATGTTTTGCTAGTAGTGAGTTCTGACCTCAATCTACAAAACTGTTGGTGAGAAGTGCCCTCAACCAATAGTGAGTGCATAAGATATTGCTGACCCAAGACCTGGCTTTCTCAGGTCCTGAGACAGGCTGCTTTGAGCTACCTAAGTGCTGGTCTTCTTTCTCTAGCACAGTTCTGTAAGTAATCCAGACCCTAAGATGGTGCCCTAGAGCCACCCTGACACTGGAGCCAGCATATTAAAGTCAAGGCCCTTTGTATTCCTTTGTGTATCCATACAAGCTAGAGTCCATTGTCATCTTGTTCCATTTCCCACTTCCTTCCTTTTCATGCGGTTATGGTGGCTGTGGGTTCTGAGGAGAGGACTATTTGGGTTATGGTGAGAAAACAAGAGACTTCCCTAGAGTAGTCATTAAAGCTATAATGATAATGAGAGCTTAGGACACATACACACAATTTCATTGACTCAACAACCTCAGGAGGTAGGAGTATCTAAAATTTGCAGATGAGGAAACAGAGGCTGAGAGAAACTAAACAATTAAGGTCACACAGGTGGTAAGTGGCAAAGCTGGTACCTGAGCCCATATCTTGGTGTAAGTTCTTGGCCCTTATGCTTCAGGGTGACTTCTTGAGGAGAGCCAGGAGGTCTGGGTCCTGATGGCTGCCTGTTCTTGCACAAGTCTGGTCCTGTGCCCAGATCCCAACTTTCCTAGGTGTAAAATGAAACCTGGATGTGATCTCCAAGGTCCATTCTAGATGATCGAGTCTGTGATTAAGGTACTTATTTACTTTTATTTTTTGACAGAAAGAATGAGCACAAGCAGAGGGAGCTGCAGAGGGAGAGGGAGCCCGATGTGGGACTTGATCCAAGAACCCTGGGATCATGACCTGAGCCAAAGGCAGTCGTCCAACCAACGGAGCCACTGAGGGGTCCCTGATTGAGGTATTTACAGACACTTCCTTTGTGCTAGCATGCTGATCTTCTGACCAGAGGGAAGACATTCCTGCCTTCTGGGTGGGCAGTGGAATGGGTTCTAGTCTAGTAGGAGAGAGAAGTACAAGAATAAGATTATGAGGTGTAGTCATGAAGCAGGCAGAGGTGATGCTCGAAATAGTTAATAACTTGTTGGATAATTTAAAATATAAAAAAATAAAGCTAAGTTTTAAAATTCTTTTTAGTTGGTGTACTATATATTTCTAAAAACTGCTTGGCAAATGATATAAATTGTAGTTCATATCATTGGTTAAATTACTCTACTTTCCAAATTACTTGTTGAGTTTTTTCCAGCTTTATTGAGATATAATAGGCAAAACTCTGTAAGTTTAAGATGTACAAGTTGTTGATTTGATACCCTACATACTATGAAATGATTATGTCCTAGCATTAACTAACCCTTCAATTGCATTACATAATTACCAAGAAACAACTATAGAGAACAAACTGATTGTTACTAGAGGGAGGGGACTGGGGGGATGGGTGAAATAGGTGATGGGGATTAAGGAGGGCACTTGTGATGAGCACTGGGTGTTGTATGTATGTGATAAATCCTTAAATTCTACAACTGAAACTAATATTACACTGTATAACTGGAATTTAAATAAAAACTTGGAAGAAAAAAAATCACCATTTCTTGTTTTGTAATAACATTTAAGACTACTCTCTTAGAAGCTTTCAAGTGTATAAACACAGTATTACCATTATCACTATGCTGTATATTTTTCCTCCCATAATTGGAAGTTTTTACTCTTTTACCAATATCTCCCTTTTCTTCCAACCCCCAGCTCCTCCTAACCACCATTCTAGCCTCCTTTCTATGAGTTCAGCTTTTGTTTTTGTGTGTGTGTGTTTTTTTTTTTTTTTTTTTTTTTTTTAGATTCTACACGTAAGTGATATCACAGAACTTGACTTTTTCTTTCTGTCTGACTTAGTTTATCTAGCATTATGCCCTTAAGGTCCATCCATTCATTTGTTGCCTGACACTTAGGTTGTTTCCATATGTCAGCTATTGTGAATAATACTGCAATGAATATGGAAGTGCAGATGACTCTTCAGGATCTGCTTTCATTTCTGTTGGATACATGCCCAGAAATGAGTTGATGGATCATCTGGTAGTCCTGTTTTTAATTTTTTTTTTTTTTTGAGGAAACTCCATACTATTTTCCATAGTGACTGCACCCATTAACATTCCCACCATTGTGTGTGTATCAATGTATAGGAGTGCCCTTCTCTCCACATCTTCACCAATATTTCTTTTTTATGATGTTCATTCTAACAGGTGAAAGGTGATCTCATTATCTTTTGATTTGCATTTCCCTAATGACTGATGTTGAACACCTTTTCGTATATACCTGTTGACCATTTGTGTGTCCTTGGGAAAAATGTCTATTCAGTTCCTCTGCACATTTTTAAATTGGGTTGTTCATTTTTTGCTATTGAGTTATAGTTCTTTATATATCTTAGGTATTAACCTTTCATCAGATATTTGGTTTGCAAATATTTTCTCCCATTCAGTGCCTTTTCATTTTGTTGATGGTTTCCTTTAGCTGTGCAGAAGATTTTTAATTTGATGTAGTCCTGCTTTGTTTTTTGCCATTGTTTTTGTTTTTGGTGCCAAATGCAAAAAATCACCACCAAGATTGCTGTCAAGAAGCTTATCCCCTATGTTTCCTTCTAGGAGTTTTATGGTTTCAGGTTTTAGGTTTAAGTCTTTAATCCATTTGGAGTTGATTTTTGTGTATGTTGTAAGATAAGGGTCCAATTTCATTCTTCTGTATGTGGCTATCAGTTTCTCAGCACCGTTTATTGAAAAAACTATCCTTTCCCTGCTGTACATACTTGACGTCTTTGTGATAAATTAATTGACTATATATATCATATATATATCAAATAAGTATATTTATTTCAGGGCTCTTGGTTCTATTCTAGTGTGTGTGTGTGTGTGTGTGTGTGTGTGTGTGTGGTTTTGATTACTATAGCTTTGTAATACAGTTGAAAATCAGGGAGTAGATGTTTCTAGCTTTGTTCTTTCTCAATAACCTTAGGATTTTTTCCTATTTCTATGAAAAATGTCATTGGAATTTTGATAGGGATTTAATTGAATCTGTATATTGCTTTGGGTAGTATGGACATTTTAACAACATTCTTCCAATCCATGAGCACAGAGTATCTTTCCATTTATTTGCATATTCAATTTCTTTCATCAATGTCCTAGTTCTCAGTGTACAGATCTTTCACTTCCTTAAATTTGTTCTTACGTACTTTATTCCTTTTGGTGCTATTGTGAGATTGTTTTTGTAATTTTTCTCTGGTAGTTCATTATTAATGTATAGAAATGAATTGATTACTGTGTATTTTGTACCTTGCAACTTGATCAAATTCACTTATTCTAACAGTTTTTTAGTGAAGTCTTTAGTTCTCTACTTATAATATCATGTCTTCTGCAAATAGAGAAAATTTACTTCTTCCTTTCTGATTTAGATGCTTTTATTTCTTGCCTAATTGCTCTATCCTAGGACTTTTCAGTACTGTTTTGAATAGTAGCGGTGAGAATGGGCATCCTTGTCTTATTCCTGATTGAGTATGTTGTTAGCTGTAGACTTGTCCTATGGGAACTTTTTTTATGTTGAAGTATATTCCCTTCATGCCTAGTTTGTTGAGAGTTTTTTTTCATGAAAGCATCTTAAATTTTCTCAAATGCCTTTCATGTATTTGAGATGACTATAAGATTTTTTTATCCTTGATTTTTGTTAATAGAGTGTAACATATTGATTTGTGGATGTTGAAGTATCCTTGGATCCCTGGAATAAATCACACTTGATTATGGTGTATGATCCTTTTAATGTACTGTCAAATTCAGTTTGCTAATATTTTGTTGAGTGTTCTTGCATGTCTGTTCATCAGGTTATGAGCCTGTAATTTTTTCTTGTAGTGTCATTATCTGGCTTTCATGTCAGAGAAATGCTGGCCTTGTGAATATGAGTTTGGTAGTGTTCTTTCCTTTTCTAAATTTAAAATTTCTGTTGTGCACTTTCAATGAAGCTTCTATTGGCTCAATACCTGTCTGAACCATGGTTTGACATGAGTATTGCATCAAAGACTTTCACAAAGTGGACAGTAGTTAAGTTCCCACAGTTCTGTACCTTGCTGTAGTAGGTAGATGGTGAGGAACATTGTCAATGAGTCAGGGGATAGGTATTTTCCTAGATGCCAACAGTTTCCATATGGCCTTGACCCTTGAAGGTAGAGACAGAGGCACAGGTTGACTATACTGTCTGCTTTGATGTCCTCACCAGTGCTGGTCCTCTGCAGAGTAATGGGTGGAGCTAGACAACATTGCTTTCACTACCACTGCTTGTTACATAGTTGCAAGGGGCTACCCACATCAATTAAGGCACTGCTATTAGGCCTCACTGCTTGCCTCTGTAACCACAGCTGGGCAAGGTTATTAGGTGGTTTGTAATCTTAGTAAGTAGGGAATTTCTCTCTGACCACCCTGGATGTGTTTTGGTATTTTAACAATTGACATGATGTGATAGACTGAATTATCCTCACATCTTTACTTTTTCTTCTATGTAATCCTAAGGTGCTTTGGGTGGAAGGAGAATATTTCCTAGTACTATTGATGTTGGGCTTGGCCATGTGGCTTGTTCTGGTCAATGGGATGTGGGCATAATTAATAGATTGCCAGGTCTTTCTGAGATGCACATGGTACAGATTGCCATTGTTCCTTTATCCTGAACTCAGAGTGAGACCAATGGATTAGATGGAAACTGTCCTGAAGCTAGAGCCAAGTGTAGCTGCCCTAACACCTGAAACAACCTGCTGTCCTGTGAACAAGAAATAAATAATTGCTATTACAAGTTGAGTTTTGGATTGTTATATTTTGCAGGAGAATTGCACTAACAGCTGTCTGTACATAGGGCCAACATGCTGCGTGCTAGTATAAGTTAGCATTAAGAGTAAATGAAGGGTGCCTGGGTGGCTCAGTGGGTTAAACCTCTGCCTTGGGCTCAGGTCATGGTCTCATGGTCCTAAGATCGAGCCCTGAATCGGCTCTCTGCTCAGCGGGGAGCCTGCTTCCCCCTCTCTCTCTTCCCGCCTCTCTTCCTACTTGTGATCTCCCTCTCTGTCAAATAAATAAAATCTCTTAAAAAAAGTAAATGAAAAATTTGTTGTTAGAGTTGTTACATTAACTGCTTGAGAAAGCACAAAGGAGGAGGTAGAGAGGGAAGAGGCAAGAGCTAAGAATTATAGGCAGTGATGTTCAAAGGCTACAAAGCGGGCAGTGAGGAGGCCTGCCTGTTTGAAGGAAAAAAATAAAGCACCAGGATTCAGGGGGAGGCCTCCAGGCTTTTTGACATGGACTTTCTTCTTAGATTCCATTTGGGGCTCGCAAATCCCCTCTTGCGAACACTCTCTCATGTCTTCAATGGGATATTCACTAGTCTAGCACCGAAGAACAATTTGGCAAAATACATCAAAGCTTTAAATGTGCATATTATCTACCTTTGTCTCTGCTATTCCTCTTCAAGTCTATATCCTAAGGGAATAACTGGGCAGGTGAGAAAGATGGAACAAGAATACTTTTTCCTTAATTTCTAATATTAAGAAGCTGGTATCCAACAATGAAGAATTACTTAATGCATACTTTGTAAGATACCATACAGCTTTGAAAATGTAAAAGGATATTTATTGACAGAGAAGTTTGTGATAGAGTAAATGAGATTAATGACCATATAGTTATATCCCATGTGTACATAGGTACAGTCTTGATTGTGTTTATGGGATTTTGACTATAAAATACTGCATGCATACACTCATGTTATTGGAGGCAACTCCATTCATTAGGATCTCTTGGGGAGTCCACTTAGCTAAAAATAAATGCTTTCATTGGGGGTGGGGTATGAATCCTGAAACACACACAAACAAATAAAATCCTAACA